CGTTGGACACAGAGCACCACGGACAAACAAGAAAAAAATGAGCTCAAGAGATGCTTGGGTGGCCTGGGAAGGGTACACGCTCCTGCGTTCTTTTTCAGCGCATGACGCCTTTTTCCAAAACGTCCCAGTGCGCTGTTCTTTCTCCAAATATTAGTTTTGCCGTACAGCACGTAGCAGCAGGACAACTAAATCATCCAGACCCTCGAAGACCTCTACATAAACAAGCATGATACCGCTCAGTTCGGAAACACAGGGGGGGCATTGAGACATCCACCGTCGTATCCCAATGGGTGGAACGCTAGTTCGTGCGTACTCAGAGGGAAGAGAGTGCTGCACTCTTCTCGCACAAAAAATCGAAGGCAAAACACCGCAGGAGGGCGGGTGGGTAGGGGACCTCAGGGAGAGGAACCCTTCTGTGTGACCACGGGTTTGAGTAAACGGCACAAATGCTGCGAGCGCTGATTCGAAGTGAAGACAACGAAAAAAAAAAGTTGCGAATGAAACCTCTTTGCCCAAACAGAGGTACCGGTACCACAGGAGCTCGAGGGCGAACGTGGACACTTAAAAAAAAAAACAGGCCGTTCTCCCCTTGTTCAACTAAATAGGCATGTTTGGTGGAAGCACTGATCGAGACAAAAAAAAAACGGTGGCATCAAGAATTGAGGCGCGGCATCAAAACAAACCACTTTTGTGTCTTGCCCTGGTGTTCCTTGTAAAAATCATGAAACAGAAGAAAAAATAACGAAAGCCGTGCGACAAGCAAGGAAAAAACCAGCGAAAAAATATGCATACCGTGGTATATATATGTGTCCGAACCTGGTGGGAAGCTGGCACAGCAGGTCAATCAGGAACTCCATGAAACGCTCGCAGAACTCCAGCAGCTTGCGGGGGGGGTCCCTACCCGCCGCCGCCCGTTCGTCCCCTGTCGCGGCCGCCTCCTCCTGGTTCTCCTTGTTCTCCCCCCCGCCCTTCTTCTTCTTGCCCTTGACGGTGCCGTCTGAGACGAGACGAGAGAAAAAAAGAAGCAGTCAAGAGTTTCTTAGTCCTAGTCCGTCCGTGCGACGGGATGCTTCCTTTTCATCGTGCTCGGGTAGGCAATGCCGTCGTCCTAACGCCGGCGTAAGGACACCAAAATTGAGGGCTTTTTCCTGCTTCAAGGACGACACCCTTCTTATAAGATGCATGGCGCTGCAAAAACAACTAAGAAGGCGCGTACAATCGCAAGGGCTTCTTTCCCACGCTTCTACAAGGAGGATGCTTGTCACAGAAACAAAAAAAAAACACCACGCCTGTCCTCAAAGCCGCAGCAGACATTATCGTAGACACCAGGACCGCCTCCCCCGCCGCCTCCCGGGCTCTTACCGAAGCTCTCCACGGCGTCCAGAAACATCCTCGCCAGCGACGGCAGGAACTCGTACTCGTACCGCTCCATGCCCGACCTGCCAGACTTCGCACCCCCTTGGCCTTCCCCTTCCTCCTCTTCCTTGGCCAGTCCGGCCTTGAGGTGCTGCCAGTGGCGCTTGAGCTGCGGGAACGGCCGGAGCTCGAGAGCGAGCCGGCCCGGCTGGAGCGAGGCCCACAGGGGCAGGTACGCCAGCCGAAGGACGTTGCTGCGGACCACGGGCTCTTCCAGGGACTTTTATTTATTTTTTTTAGGGGGGGGAAGGGAATTGTGGAGAAACACGACGACGACCAAAAAAAAAACCGCACCGACAACAATATTACGAAGGGTTAAGCAATCGTGGGGCACGATTTGAAGAAAGTAAAGGACAGAGAGAGAGAGAGCACGGCAAGGTAGCGTTCTAGGACACAGCCGACACGCAGCATCACGCGCCAAGGGGGACACAGCAGTGTTGCGGTCCACACATCATGATCCAGGGAGGGTGGTGGCCAACCGTCTGTAGTTGATTCAGTTTGCAGAAGGAAAGCAGAACGAAAAACAAATCAAGTCGGTATCCAATTTTCCAGTTTGGACGTCAATAAACAAGCAAACACATCGAATCTTGGACTTGGCACTACTGCTGTATCACTAGAAACCCAATTCATGGACCACTGCCGTGAAGCTCGAAAGAAGCGAAAAATAAATCCCGCGACGAAAACAACCAAGAAACGCCACTTGCCACGTGGAAAACGTTTGCCCAGGAAAGTAACCGAAACTTATTACCCCGCAACCACAACACGCCTCTTCTCACGTGGAAGACGTTGACGAGGAAGGTCACGTAGGCGATGCGTTCGTACATCGACAGACCCTCCCACCCTGGGCGCCGCCGCGGCGGCGCCGTCTTCTTCTTCTTCTTCACCTCCCGTTTCCTCTTGTCCTTCTGGCCGCCGCCGCCGCCCCCCCCCCCTCCTCCTTTGCCGCCCTTCTCCCCCTTGCCGCCTCCGGAGGCAGATGATCGCCGGGCTGACTTATCCTTGCGTCCATCCTGTCGAACGACAAACAGAAAGGGAGAGAAAAAGATGGAAAAGCGTGAGCCTAGAGGAGACGAATGTTGGGACAGACCGGTCAGACTAGCGTAACCCGAGTCTTGAGGATACGTTGTACATGGAACAGGAAAGCCAACAACTTGCAATCAAAGCACCATTTGCCCTTTGCCCGCTTGTTCCCTTCCTGCCTACCGAAGAACACACGTCCGAAAAGACGCGTCATTATTGGTATAACCCTACACAAAACACGCAAGGATAACGAGCACGCACCGTGACCGGCGGGGGTGAGAGAGACCGGGCAGCGCGAACGAGAGAAATGGTGCCTATGAAAGCGATATGTGTGGGTCACCGGCGCATCACGCCACGCTTTGTCTTATGGCAGGACGAGATACATGGCACCACAAGTTTGAATCAGCCAGCGTGCGCGAAAGGCCTAAAAGTGGTCTTTCTACCGGTGCAACCACACCGTGCGCGGCGTCTCGATCTCCGACGTTACAGCCCATATGACCGCCGAATCATGCTGTCCGAAACCAGGATGCTCGTCAGAGGGCAAACCAAAAACTTAATCGAGCAACATTACTGGCCAAAAAAAGATTATCGAAAAGGCTCAAGCCAAAAAGGCGCCGCGAGGATGACCCCACGACGATCGAAGAACACGTGCAGGAGACGGTGACCCCACCTTTCGAGCGACCTTCGCCGGAGGCGGCTCCACACCCGCCTCTTCCTCCTCCCCTCCCTCCGCAGCAACAGCCTCCGAGGAAGCCTCCTCCTCCTCCTTTTCCTCTCCCTTGCCTTCGCCAGACTCCTCCTCCTCCTCCTCCTCCTCCTCCTCCTCCATGGCGTCAACACCGCCCTCTCCCTCCGCCTCCTCAGCTTCTTCCTCTTCCTCCTCAGCGTCGTTATCCTTGCCGCCTTCGTCCTGCTCCTTCTCCCCGCCTTGTTCGTCGCTAGGCGTGGCGGCAGCCGTAGACGCAGCAGCAGCAGCAGCAGCAGCAACAGAAGGCCTAGGCTTGGGCCAGTCCCCCATCGCGAGCCCCAGCACGCTCTCAAAGAACTCCGTGAACGCCTGCTTCCCGGACTTGGGAACCCTACCAGCACCGCTACCACCACCCTTCGATGCAGCCTTGCCCTTACCCTCGACGCTAGTCTCTGCCGCCGCCGTATCCTTCCCGCCACCCTTCTTCCCCTTCCCCTTCCCCTTGGCGCTGCCCTCAGCACGCTCTGCTACCGCAGACGAAGCAGCAGTACCAGCCGCGTCACCCCCATCGGCTGCCGCTCCTTGAGCAGCAGCAGCAGCCGAGGGTTTGGAGGAGGAGGAGGCGTCTGCGGTGACGGGGAGGTTTCCCAGGCGGCCCTCCGAGATGCCCAGGGACTCCCACACGCTCACCCCCTCGTGGAACTTGGAGTTGATCAGGAGGATCTGGCGTCGTCGTTGTTGACGAGAGCGGACGGGGAGGGAGGGACACAAAACACGACGATCGGTCGGTCGGTATAGCAATGTGATATGCATAGAAACCTACATGGTAACACCTACCACATGTACGGGCTTGAGCTCACGCCGGTGCGGGTGGGCGGGCGTCGCAACGGGGTGTGCTCTCCTGAGGAGGCCATGCTGCTGCTTGCTAGAGGAGCGGGATCAGAGCATCGACCCTCAGGCGATTTTTTTTTGTGTGAGAAAGAGTTCATGGGAGAGAACCTGGGTTGAGGAGGGGGAGGAAACTACGTTCGACCTAAACCCTACTGGGCGTTGAACAATCTAAAGCAGACGGGGCTGGGTGCTGAGGGCGTAGCTATCATCTCTGCTGTAGTCGTCGTCTTCAGACTGCAGACGATAGGGTAGCTAGAGGGGGAAAGAACGAGAGACAGAGAGACAGAGAGAGAGAGAGAGAGAGAGAGAGAGAGAGAGAGAGAGAGAGAGAGAGAGAGAGAGAGAGACAGAGAGAGAGAGAGAGAGAGAGAGAGAGAGAGAGAGAGAGAGAGAGAGAGAGAGAGAGAGAGAAAGAGAGAGAGACACACACAGACAGGCAGACTTACCGTACTCATGAGGTGTTCGGTGGACGATTTCTTGGCGTCGAAGTTGGGCCACAAGTAGTTTTCCAGGAAAGCGCTGAACTCCAGCAGCTGAAGGCGCGAGCTCGACTCGGGTCCCGCCCGGGCGCCGGGCGTGGGCATGCACGACCTCAGCTCCTTGCGGTAGATGGTCGATACCTTGTGCGGAGGAGACCAAAAGAGGATCAGATTAAGAGAAAGGAGAAGGCGGGTTCGCACAGTACTGATAGACGCCACGTTCGTGGTACTCCTGGTCACTGCGTGCGGGGTTTTCATGCATCAAGGGTTGAGCTCTCGGGGTGGCTGCATTTGACACGACCGAACAATGTGTCAGCACTATTTCTTCAATAAATAACAATATCAACAACTCATCAGTATCGGCGTAGCATATCGTCATTACCAGCTTCGGCTTGAAAGATCCCTTGGCGGCTGCCTTGGACCCGGGGGCCCAGTTCTGGTTCGCCACCGCCATCAGCTCGTCCTCGTTGATCTCGGTGATAGTCACCAGCCCCCCGGTCCGCTTGCGCTTCCGTTCGCCGGCAGCAGCAGCACCGGCCGGCACCGGCGCTCCGGCCCGATGGCCGGCGCCGCCCTTACCCTTCGCCTTACCCGGCGACTTCTTCCCCGCCCCGCCGGTGGCGGCCGTGATGCCCCCCGGCACGTAGGGTGGTCCCCTGGCCAGCGTACCGCTACCGCTACCGCCGCTACCGCTACCGCCGCCGCGTCCCCGCCCCCGGCCGCCACCGGGGAAAGCAGCCCCCCCCCTTCCTCGCCCCCCGCGTCCTGGTGACTGCGGTCCGCCTCGGCCGGGAGAGGGTCCCCCCCGGCCCCCGCCGCGGCCGCCGCCGCGGCCAGGAGACGCCCCTCCTCCTCGGCCGCCCTTGACCCTGCCCTTGGCGCGCCCACGCCCGCGGGGGCTCGCTCCCGCCGCCGCCGCCGCTGCCTCTCCTTCCCCTCCCTCTCCTTCCCCCCCCTCTTTCGCTGTCGCCGCCTCCTCTCCCTCTTCCGCTGGTGCCACCGCCGCTGAACCCATTGCCGCCGGCAACGGCGCCGGCGCCTTCTCCTCGGCGGCAGCCTGGGTACCGGCAGGCTTGGAGTCTGCGGTGTAGTCTCCGCCCGTGGTAGGCCCTGTTGTTGCTTCTGCCGGTTCCGGTGCTGGGGTATCGGCATCGGGGGCCGACGCGCTCGCGCCCTCGGCGGAGCCCCCGGAAGGCGTTCCAGGGTCTTCGGAGGCGGGGTTTTCTTCGGCCGGAGCATCATCATCAGCAGCGACATCCTCAGCGGCGGCGGCGGCGGCGGCGGCGCCCCTGGAAGAACGCCTCTTGGGCGGTGACTTGGCTGCTGCTGCGGCGGCTCCCGCTTTCCCGCGGCCGGGCGATGCCGCCGCCGCTGCCGCGCGACCCTTGCCGCCCCTGCCGCCCTTCCCGCGCCCGCGCCCGCGGGCGGGGGACTTCGGTCCCGCCATTTGGTTGTGCTGTCCTTGGGCTGTCGCGAATGTGGACGGTTGTTTCGGGCGGTGGGACGAGGGTAGAAAATGTGAGGCAAAATATGCTGTGACACAACAGCAGCATTGGCTGCATACCACAATGCACCATGAAGGCAGACATAGCTGCCTGTGATTCAGCATGTGGATACAAAATTCAAAATTACACTCAGTTTTCGCCTTGGACTTCTTCGACTGTTTTTTTTCAACAATGGGACAGGCACGAAACATCGATCGGGACACGCCTCTCATACTGCTGTCGACTCCGCTTGTCCAAAAGCGAGAGCACAGATCGTCGAACGACCTATCGAGAGAATGGCCCGTTACGCAATTTGTCCCGCCGACGGAGGGGGAGGTGTTATATTCCGTCATCAAGGCGCCGGCGGCACCAGCGACGCGAGCCACCACATCGCCAACTCCGGCTGCAATATGGCCGACGAAACAACATCACCCTATGCCACTTGGTCACCAGTACCAGATCAAATCCACTAGATCTGCTGCTGCAGCCCTGCCGCTGTGTGTGATCCGTGATCCACAAATGACCCGTATCATTGGGCGAAGAAGACTGAGGCACCAAACTGCTGTTGCGTCTGATGATGGTCAATAATCCCGACACACCGTTAGGAACCGTGCAGCTGTTCGCACCGCCTCACACCGAATCCGCGCCAACAACTATGGTTACAGCGGCTGAGACACGACCAACCGTCCAACACTCACAGCACCCTTGAGTGTAAGTGCTCCCTCTCCTTGTACACACACGCGATCCGCAAGAATCCTGCCTACATATGGGTTAAGTGTGAAGGACCCACATCCCACAGCAGCGATGCAGAGATAGACCAATTGCAGAAATAGGTTACACGGCGTAGCAGCCCCCCCCCCTGGAACATGTTCCTTGCGAACAGCATGGCCAACAACGCACCTGATTGCTGCAAGCAGGTAAGGCTGCCCCCTGGTACACGTTCGCGACGCCGCCCTTATCAACGAGGTAGCGTGTCTTTGCGGCTCACCGCTCCCCTTCGTTGGATCAACTCCTGTTATCTCCTCCAAATAAGACCGACGGCCCCGCCAACAAGCACGCGATGGATGAGAAGCCGCCGGCACTATCACCCGCGTGCCTGCAAATGTTGCTGCCCCTCCTCAGCTATCGCTGTCCGTTGCTGCCGGGGTCCTGCCTCGTCCCCAACGTCGCTGTCCGGGTGGCACCACGATTCGAAGGTCCTCAAAAAGTGGATACACGTCATGATTCCGCGGAGCCTCTATCTTGCAAATCAGCATTACCCAGCACCCAGCCACCACTACCATCTCGCACCACTCTCACGCCAGGCAGAGAGGAAGCACAGACACAGACCGAGAGAGAGAAAGAGAGAAAGAGGAAGATAATTTCGTGCGTGGATGGTCCAGGTGACATATTAGTCCCAGCGATTTGGCCGCTCGTCGCCTTCTGAATCAGCGCTGTTGAATCAACATTTGTTCTCCGCAGTCTCTCTGCCTCTGGCGGCTTGTTGTTCTGGGAATGGATCCACTCACGCCTGAGCCAAGCACGGGAGCTGTGGCAAATCTCGGGGCTAGCCTACCCACCAGGGTAGCTACCGATGAACGTGTCCGTGGGCTCCGCATCAACTTCAAGTTTAGTGTATGCCCTCGAACTGGTCTGGGTTCAGCCTGCTCGCGTTGTGCGAGGTCGGTGGAGCCGCAACACCCCGCAACCGAGACCAAATAGTCTACAATGCCTAGTTCCAGACCCACCACTTGCTGTAATTAGGGCGCGCAATAGCCCCACATCTGTTTTTTATCAAGATTCTGACTTGCGACAGCAGCTCGGGACCGGGAACAAAAACATGCAAAATGTTTACTCGAAAAATGCTGTGGTGTGTGTGGACCTGAAGCAACAGTCTACCTCGCTTTTTCCGGGGGCGGAAGCATGCATCTGAGGGTAAAGTATTGTACAGTACTGTAGGCTGACGGATAGGTTGGGGGTAGCGAAGTCTGCACCCGGGAGTTGGTTCTTTCCGTAAAGGGCATTGTGCACACTCGCGAATGCCTATAAATATCACGAAACTTTGAACACTCTAAAGTTGCAGCCAACCGTGAGCCCCATATAGCCCCTAGCCCTTCTTTCTGTGTATCTCTCTTTCTCCTTGTCTCCAACGTCCACTTTTACTTCGTCTAAGTGCGCCTCCCCCCCCTCCCCCCCCCCCCCCCCC